GGCACAGCCTCGCTGTTTGAGGGTGGCACAGCCTCGCTGTTTGACGCTGGCACAGCCTCGCTGTGTGAGGCTGGCACAGCCTCGCTGTTTGAGGGTGGCACAGCCTCGCTGTTTGACGCTGGCACAGCCTCGCTGTTTGACGCTGGCACAGCCTCGCTGTTTGACGCTGGCACAGCCTCGCTGTGTGAGGCTGGCACAGCCTCGCTGTGTGAGGCTGGCACAGCCTCGCTGTGTGAGGCTGGCACAGCCTCGCTGTGTGAGGCTGGCACAGCCTCGCTGTTTGACGCTGGCACAGCCTCGCTGTGTGAGGCTGGCACAGCCTCGCTGTTTGACGCTGGCACAGCCTCGCTGTTTGACGCTGGCACAGCCTCGCTGTTTGACGCTGGCACAGCCTCGCTGTTTGACGGGTGGCACAGCCTCGCTGTTTTGAGGCGGGGACAGCCTCGCTGTGTGACTGGCACAGCCTCGCTGTGTGAGGCTGGCACAGCCTCGCTGTGTGAGGCTGGCACAGCCTCGCTGTTTGAGGGTGGCACAGCCTCGCTGTGTGACCTGGCACAGCCTCGCTGTTTGACGCTGGCACAGCCTCGCTGTTTGACGCTGGCACAGCCTCGCTGTTTTGGGCTGGCACAGCCTCGCTGTTTGACGCTGGCACAGCCTCGCTTTTTTGACGCTGGCACAGCCTCGCTGTGTGAGGGTGGCACAGCCTCGCTGTTTGACGCTGGCACAGCCTCGCTGTTTGACGCTGGCACAGCCTCGCTGTTTTACGCTGGCACAGCCTCGCTTTTTGACGCCCACAGCCTCGCTGTTTGACGCTGGCACAGCCTCCGGGGTGGGGGTTTTGAGGGTGGCACAGCCCCGCTGTGTGAGGCTGGCACAGCCTCGCTGTTTGAGGCTGGCACAGCCTCGCTGTTTGACGGGTGGCACAGCCTCGCTGTTTGACGCTGGCACAGCCTCGCTGTTTGACGCTGGCACAGCCTCGCTGTTTGAGGGTGGCACAGCCTCGCTGTTTGACGCTGGCACAGCCTCGCTGTGTGAGGCTGGCACAGCCTCGCTGTGTGAGGCTGGCACAGCCTCGCTGTTTGACGCTGGCACAGCCTCGCTGTGTGAGGCTGGCACAGCCCCGCTGTGTGAGGCTGGCACAGCCTCGCTGTTTGACGCTGGCACAGCCTCGCTGTGTGAGGCGGCACAGCCTCGCTGTTTTACGCTGGCACAGCCTCGCTGTTGAGGCTGGCACAGCCTCGCTGTTTGACGCTGGCACAGCCTCGCGTGTGAGGGTGGCACAGCCTCGCTGTGTGAGGCTGGCACAGCCTCGCTGTTTGAGGCTGGCACAGCCTCGCTGTGTGAGGCTGGCACAGCCTCGCTGTTTGACGCTGGCACAGCCTCGCTGTTTGACGCTGGCACAGCCTCGCTGTTTGACGCTGGCACAGCCTCGCTGTTTGACGCTGGCACAGCCTCCTGTTTGACGCTGGCACAGCCTCGCTGTTTTTGAGGTTGGGACAGCCTCGCTGTTTGACGCTGGCACAGCCTCGCTGTGTGAGGCTGGCACAGCCTCGCTGTTTGGGCGCTGGCACAGCCTCGCTGTTTGACGCTGGCACAGCCTCGCTGTTTGACGCTGGCACAGCCTCGCTGTTTGACGCTGGCACAGCCTCGCTGTGTGAGCCAGGCACAGCCTCGCTGTTTGACGCTGGCACAGCCTCGCTGTTTGACGCTGGCACAGCCTCGCGGGGTGAGGCTGGCACAGCCTCGCTGTGTGAGGCTGGCACAGCCTCGCTGTTGAGGCTGGCACAGCCTCGCTGTGTGGGCTGGCACAGCCTCGCTGTTTGACGCTGGCACAGCCTCGCTGTTTGACGCTGGCACAGCCTCGCTGTTTGACGCTGGCACAGCCTCGCTGTGTGAGGCTGGCACAGCCTCGCTGTTTGACGCTGGCACAGCCTCGCTGTGTGAGGCTGGCACAGCCTCGCTGTTTGACGCTGGCACAGCCTCGCTGTTTGACGCTGGCACAGCCTCGCTGTTTGACGCTGGCACAGCCTCGCTGTTTGACGCTGGCACAGCCTCGCTGTTTGACGCTGGCACAGCCTCGCTGTGTGAGGGTGGCACAGCCTCGCTGTTTGAGGCTGGCACAGCCTCGCTGTGTGAGCTGGCACAGCCTCGCTGTTTGAGGCTGGCACAGCCTCGCTGTTTGACGCTGGGCACAGCCTCGCTGTGTGAGGCTGGCACAGCCTCGCTGTTTGACGCTGGCACAGCCTCGCTGTTTGACGCTGGACAGCCTCGGTTTTTTGGGCGCTGGCACAGCCTCGCTGTTTTGACGCTGGCCCCAGCCTCGCGTGTGAGGCTGGCACAGCCTCGCTGTGTGAGGCTGGCACAGCCTCGCTGTGTGAGGCTGGCACAGCCTCGCTGTGTGAGGGTGGCACAGCCTCGCTGTTTGGGCTGGCACAGCCTCGCTGTGTGAGGGTGGCACAGCCTCGCTGTGTGAGGGTGGCACAGCCTCGCTGTTTTACGCTGGCACAGCCTCGCTGTTTGACGCTGGCACAGCCTCGCTGTGTGAGGCTGGCACAGCCTCGCTTTTTTGACGCTGGCACAGCCTCGCTGTGTGAGGGTGGCACAGCCTCGCTGTTTTGGGGGGGCACAGCCTCGCTGTTTGACGCTG